TTTACAAATAAAGTTATTTACCTTAATGTAATAATCATTATATATAAATTAATTTTTAAGTTTCAAAAATTGATTATATAATTTTTCTATGATTGTAAGTTACTTTTCAACAAGATAAATTATAAGTATTTTTGAACAGGTGCTTTAATTATTGTAAAAATACAAATTGCCTTTATTTCTTAGAGGATAATTCTTTTTATGTTAAAAATACATAATAATATATAAATAATAAAAATATAAATAAACTATAATTAATCTTATTGTTATAATCTATTGTAAGATAGTAAAAATCGGGAGTTACACAGAATGTAACACATGAAGAATTATGATAATAATAAGATAACACAGTTAAAATAGATCGATAATATGGATTCTTATTACATACCAATCGAATAATAGAAAAACATTATAAATTTAAATATCCTTATTTTGTATTATTTTATTATTTAATTATTTATATTTTTAATTATTAATATTATATTATTGATTGTGGTAACTGCAGGCAGCGGTAATTTCACATTAATGCCCCAACATTGGTTAATAAGCAAAGTCATAAGGTCATTTCAGAAGGTTCTGCCAAGTTTCAGACTCTTTTGTATCAAAAGTAGAAATTAGTATAACATCTAATTATTAATTCTACAGAATGTAATCAAAAGTAAGCACTTTTGAATAATGTATAAAAGAAAGGAGTTTGAGAGGCAAGATAGAGAATCATTTTCCTCTGGTAGCAATCTTCCTCACATAACAATTACCTTGAATAATAAAACTTAAAATAAATATAATATTGAAGACAAACAATCTTGCTATACCCTTTACCTTAATTATTTATTTATTTACATATCCTAATTAAGGGACACCTTAATTAAATTGTGTATATTTCTTCACTCTTGGATTGAGAGGTTAAATCCTAGTTTAAATGTACTAAGGAGCCTCGGATAGCTATAAGCTATAGGCTGTGGTGAAAATCCAGTTAGAGATAAATTCATCAAAATTTGATAGGGTTCTAGTGTTTTGTCACTAGGTTTACCTTTTGGTAATTGAAGACTCTGTTCACATATATCAACCCAGTCTGAGATTGTTAAGAAAGGTGCCTAGGCAAGTGATATAGAAAGCAAGATAATGTAGCTTTTTAGCACTATTCAAGCAATTATATATTCACTTCCCTGGCCTTCCTTGATAGTGAGGCTTGCTAAGATTAAAAGTAAGCAGATAATCCACTCGAACATATCTTACACTATTCAGAAGATATTTTGAACATAATAATAAATAATAATGATTATCTCAAATAAATTAAGTAAATTTTATGTCTATAAAAAGTAAACAAAATATGAATCACTACACATGATTTGTTATGGCAATAATAACATTTTCTGTTTATGATCAACAATGTGTGGAAAATTTCATTGGTAAAGGTGGTCAATTTTTTATTAACTTGTTATTATTTCATTTATTGTTTGTGTCTTTTCTCATTTTGATTATTAATGATGATTAGCCAATTTAAATCAGGTCTGGGACACTTTACCCAACACCCACTTTACTGACAGGACACTTTACCAACACACACTTTACCAACAGGACACTTTACCAACAGGACACTTTACCAACAAGATACTTTACTGACAGGACACTTTACTGACAATCTAAGTAAAGCCAAACTTGACATAGAAATGGTCTTGCAAGGAACACCACAACCCCCACAGAAACCACAAGATCGTAATCATGAAATACAGATTCAAACAGTATTAAATGACTGTAACATTAGATCAACTATAAAGTTTCTTCGGGGCATTGCTCATAATATTTCATTTTAAAATTTTTTTTTGTTATTTTTTAAAAAATTTTTTTTTGTGTATAAAAAATAAAAATAATTGTGTCACAATAAAAGTTTTTGTAAATGATTGATAAATAAATTTAATAAAAAAATAACATGAATATGCAATTTTTATCAATTTCGTCAGACAAAAAAAATATATATTACACATGTATCTATATTGTATTTTTATGAACTTATTTTTGATGCAAAGTAAGGATAATAAGTGGTGTTATTAGTTAATTAACGGTTGATTTAACTTGTTGTAAAAAACCAAATTTTTAGCTAGTTATCCAGGTCTTCACACAGTCCTTGGCAAATTGTTAACACAATACTTGTCGGTAAATTGTCCTGTTGGCAAAGTGTCTTTTTGGTAAAATGTCCTGTTGGTAAAGTGTCCTGTTGGTAAAGTGGGTGCCAGTGAAGTGTCTTGTCAGTAAAGTGGGTGTTGGTAAAGTGTCCAGGTCTGTGCAAATTTTCTATAGGGCATCTGTTTATTTCTTATTATTAGATAAATATGATAAATAAAATGAAAAAATACAGCTTGGTAAACATGGGGGAAAACTTGTACATTTTAAAAGAGGTTAAATGCTGAGTAAATAGATCAATTAAACCCATGTTTACTTAGCAAAACATGAACCTTTACATGCATGAATTTAGATTAATTGCTGAACTAAATGCAGGTGGCATTTCCTCAACAACATTTTATGAATTATTTTTGGAGGTAAGTATTAGTAATTTTATTAAAAAATTATAATACCTTTTCCAAAATTAAATCAATTGATGTTGATATTATTTCCTTTTATATATAGTAATAAATGATAATATTTAAAATGAATAATTAAATATGATCTTCTGATGTTACACAACACAAAATGATAATTCTACCATGCTCCAGTTGACAGATTCCAATATGCAATTATCAGCATAGTAATAATGGACACTGTTGCAGATCCAATGTGACGAATGTGACATTCAATAATTTATGCAGTATAACAATTAATTTACAATTGTTTTAAATAGAAAAAGGTGCATATGTGAAAAAAAACTGGTATAGTGCAAGTCACTTAGTCCCACAACTTTCTGCGCCACACTGCCAATTTTGGGAAAAATTCCCGATCAAAAATGCAATAAAAATTTTATGGTCACATGATTTTTGTTTGTTGTTTTTGATTCATGTCTGGGAAATTCACGTGATAAAAGATCAGCAAGATAAAAAAAAATTTTATTTTTATTTTGTTTCAATTCGCCTATTTTTGATATTAACTTTTTTGTGTGTAACACGCCATTTCAGGGCTAAAACATAGTAAATTCGGTAAACTTGTGCAACTTTGAAGCTCAAATTCTCCACAACAACATGACATACCAATGAGATGAAATCGTGATTTTGCAGAGGAAGGTCTTGGCTTCAAATACACGATTTATTTTTGGGTGTTGCATTTCCATTTTTGGAGAATTTGAAAATCTACACGACCAATAAAAAGTTGTGGGACTAAGTGATTTGCACTGTACATTACTTAGAATGACAAAAAAATCATACATTTGCTCAAAAAACAAAATACAATACATCATAGCAGGATAAAAGTCATAGTTTCTATTCGTAGTACTAATACTTATTTTAATTCGAATTATTATCATTCGTTTTATTCGTTTATTCGAATAAAATTTTCAATGTAATTCGAATACTCAAATTTATCACGAATAAAACAAATAATTTGAACCATTGAAGGCGAGATATTAGTAAATAATAGCAACAATAATAACAATAGTAGTAGTAACAATAATACCGGCAAGCTTAGTACCATCTGAAAGGTTTTTCATCAACTGGGATTTATTAAGTTCTTAGCCGGCCAAGGTTTTTCTATCGGCTAACATCACTAGCACGACATTTTGTGTATATATATAAAATAGTATTAAATGATCTGCATAATTGTAAAATTTTATTTTGTTTGACGCGTCCAATTGCAAGTACAAGTAGAAATAAATGTAAATAATTATATTGTTATGAATATTTATAATATTTATACAATTTAAAGTTTTCTTTTACATTTTTATTCCTACATAAATAATAACAATTAAAATAATTAGATAATATGAGCAAGCAACAATAATATACAAATTGTCAAAAAAGGAGAAGAGAAATGTAAAGATATATTTAATAATATTATTAAAATGCGTCAACGAATTGTAATTTAAAATCAATATTAAATAACATTAACTATAAATAAGTTTTGAATATTTATGCGCAATATGATCCAGGTTTTCTTTTAAATCTAAAATCACTCAATTCGATCAAGTACTAGTGGGATACAAAATATATGATAAATGCGTTTTGAATTTTAAATCCTTATATGGCATTTTCAAATAGAAATAATAATAAAACTTGCCTATCATACAACTAGATAAAACACTCATCAAGTATATTTTACAAAACTTGTTTTCCAAGCTTTGTAGATCTCATCCAGTGTTGATTAATTAGTTTTAGAGAGATTCACAAAAAAATAGTTTATAAACCCAAGTATATTGTAATATATTTTTTTTCCAATATTTACTTTTGTATCTATTTTTATATTATTATTAAACGAAATAAGAAAGAATTGTTATGTGACCATATTTTATTCCTCTAATAACAATTATACTACTAATTATTAATCACTTTTTTTAGATCTGGTGGTTTACGATAAGAAAGAATTGTTACGCGACCATATTTTTATTATTAATTAATTATTTTTAGAAAATAGGTAGAAAATCCAACATCATCAAAAATTCTAGCTGATACTATTAATTATTAATCACCTTTTTTTAGATCTGGTGGTGTACGATCAGAAAGATTGTTATGTGACAATCGAATTATTATAATATTATTTATATTATTATTATGACTACTGTTCTTTTCATTGTCTTAAATCACCAATTTAATTTTTTCTATATATTTTAGAAAGGGAGCATGCAAACCAGCCTGCAGTAAGGTTTCTATTTATTTATGCTTTCAATCTAAAAAAAAAATTTCTAGTCAAGTCTTAATACTGTACATTACTTTCAAGTCAATTACAAATTGTATTCAGAAATATGGAAAACTTCAAACAGAACATGGACTGGTGATTAACTCAAAGCTGTCAAATCACGATGGTGATATAGCACGTACAAATTTTCATGTTGCTGTATGTACA